AAATATAATAATTTTGCCGCGTTATATTGTCAGCAACGTTTGAAAATTATTTTTCATAATCATATTCAGAATGCGATTCATCTTTAAACATTCCTTTCCTCTCTCTTTCTCTCTGTGTAAAATATATTAATTACCTAGAAACGCGCGTTTTTTCCTTCTAAATAAATTGTTGGAGAATTAACGTTTGTGTGCGCGCAATACTTTCATCTGTTATTTCTACTAAAATAGAATATTTTTATATGTGCGCTATACTACTCGAAAAGTGATTCGGTTCAAAATAAGTTTATTTAATAAAGCAAATAAACTTAATAAACGTAATAAGTTTTACATTTCTCTCTTCGTTTCTGTCAATTAAAGCGTTTTTAATTCATTTCATAGAAAATGTATTCATGCAGTAAAGAGAGAATATATTGCAATCAAATTATTGAGCAATTTTGAAAAAAAAATAAATACAGCAACGAATATGCATAATAATGTTGATCTCGTGGTCTTCTTGATAACGTGACCACTTATTTTACTGTCCAAATATAAATATAGAATTTCACGGAAAAAGCCTTATCGGAAGAAAATAAATTAGAAAAAAAAACTCGATGTTAGTGTCTACATTAATGCTGCATAATTAATTATAACGAGAAATTATTTCCATAATTAATTATAACGAGAAATTATTATTTTCATAACGCGCAAAACAGCAAATAAATAAGCCGAACAGCAACTATTTATTTCGTTATACGAAGAAGAGACGACGAGCCAACGGGGAGGGGGGAAAGGGGATGGAAGGGGATGGAAGGGGATGGGGAGCTACTACGGAAACGCGGTGGAGAACACGCAGCAAGTCCGCTCACAGGGTCTGGTAATATCGCGAAAAGTGTTTGCTTAGCTTGTCTCGACCGACGTTGGAAGCATTAAACCGCGAGCGTTCTTTCGTCTCCTCGAGAGACGATCTCGGGGAGTGAGAGCTCTCCTCCTCTACCCCTGTGTACCTTCTTCCGCCCCTACGATTATTTCCGGGACGGGGCCTTACCCACGCGCGAATTCCCATTTTCCCGATTAAAGTGATCATGATTGATAATGGTAGATGAGTCAATTAAAAGGAAATTCATTTTTATTTATTATCAATAATTTTTAACAGAGTGTATAATATAATAGATGTCAATTGTGTTTAACGATATTATTTTTAAATTGCTATTATTATAAGTGTTAATTATATAATATATAATTATTGCTATGCTATACCTGTATTTTATTATGTTTGATTATTATTAATTAGTATTATTATTTTACGCGTTTTACATCGTGAGAATTTTAGACGAAAGCGAAGAAAATATTTGCGTGACACGTCATTTTTCACGGAAAAGTTTTTACTTCTCTATTATATTCGACTTTGGTGTTTGATTGCTATTGCAACGACAATCTCGACGATACTCGCTGATCGCGACGACGATGTCGCGGAAGGGGGTCGGACACGACAGCCAGACGGGCGAGAAGCGCGGAAGGAGGGGGAACTGCCTCTGTTAGCTTTGGTTTGAAACGACGGCCTCCTGGGAAATGTGCGTAATCGCCGAGTCCCCATTCTGGACCCCGGTAGAGGATGGATTCTCACTAACAACGATCGAACTTGTTTATGGCATCACAAAAAATCGCGGTCGACTTGGTCAACGGACATCGAGGGTGAGCGAAAGAAAGATACACGGGACGAAAGAAACGACGTTTTCTTATTCACGGTGTCTACTTTTGTAAAAATATTCTAGATATTTGTGTTCAAAATTTCAGATAAGGGAATATTTTGAAGATGCAGTTTTTGATGCAGTTATGTAATTAAAATAAATTTTCGTAGGATATGTCTTTTATATTTTTGTTTCTTTATCATTAAAAATTACAATAAAATATGTATTGCATATTCAATATTTTGTTAAAACAATAAACATATAAGCAAAGATAAGATAAATATTCGTAATATAAGCATATAATTCATTTGATTTGACAACTCTTCACGATATGAGAGCAAAAGCGATATCAAAGCGAATATTTTTTTTTTAATTTCCCCCTTTTGAGAATCTTAGTAAAATTCAACAAAAATTTCTGAATTTTTTCAAGTATAAAATAAACTCCTGAGAATTTCAGATTCTTCAAGTTTTTTTAGAATAGACATTTTATGACATTATGGGATTAATAATTTTCATAATTTTAAATAAGAAATTTATTCTCCTCTTTTCAATTCTTTAAATCCCACAGCATCAATCTCCATAAACAAGTAAGTTAATTTATAAATTTAATAATATTTAATAATTTAATAATATTACATCTCGAAAGGAAGAAGAGAGAGACAAAATACTTGAATTATACATGCAATAAAAATTAAAAAAACAATATCCGTAAAAATCATCCAATCGAGTCTCGAATACATCTTATCATCTTATCGTGCACAAAAGAAAAAAAGTACTCCAATCATCGGTGATTTTAATTCAATAGGCATTGAACCGACGTTAATTCCTCGAGGACGCGTAAACTGTACGGATGCAGCTCGATTTCTCCGCGAGAACGAAGATCGAAACCGCTGACAAGATAAGGGCAAGGAGAGGACGATAAGTAGAGGTGAGCTCGCGCGCGCGGTCGAGGGCGAGAGAAGGTGGAACGGGATGGCCTGGCGGGTGGCGGAGGAAAGAACGAAGAAGAGGGCCGGGCCGGGCCGAGGCGAGGCGAGCGATCGCGGCTCCGGAATAAAGTGGAATTCAGCGCGAGCTGAATTATAAACGATATTATGCAAACACGCCGCCGCGGAGTGGAGAGGAGCGCGTACTCTCTCGTGCTGCGAGAGTTAATTTAATGAAAAACATCAGAGAAGCCAGGCCAGAGGCGCGGGCGAGAGGGCCTCCGAGAGAAGAGCGGAGAAAGAGAGGGCGGGAGAGGAAGAAAGGAAGAGACCGGCAAAAGACGCATCTCATGGCGAAAGATCGTTCTCTCCGAAAGCCGAGAGGGCTTCTCCTCTCCGTTCATCATCTCGCCGGCCCTCGAAGGATGTTTTCCTCTTTCTCCGCTCTCTTTATTCCGCTCCTCCTCGCGTTAGCGTTTAACGTCTCATTTAGAGTAGCCAAACACGTGGGTTATCGCGTAAACGTTACAATTGCGTACCGCAGAATTCTTCGTTTTTTTCTCTTCAAATTTCCTGATTATTCGATTGATTATTATAGTTTTGCACAAATCAGGGTGTGTCTGCTCGAATCTTGCTCGAAGAAAATTCTCTAATCTTCATTAAATATTTTTATTCAAAATTCCAGATCAAGAGAATATCTTAAAGATTTTTTGGAGCAACTTCCCAAAATAAGTTTCTTTTGTTTTATTATGCATTTTTTAATGCTTTTCACTCATTATAAAAAAACACAGAATCACAAGTTTCAAATGTTAGATTTACAAATGTATCGAAGAAATTGAATCGAGCCTTCGCAAAATAAACATTTTTCGCTAACATAGCATTTTCATTTTGTCGCTAAAAATTGTAATAAAAATAATATATACTATATTATTCAATATAGCATATTCAATATTTTATTAAATCATATAAAATATAATAATAAATTTATAATATTTTGAATAAAATTCATACCTTGACTTATTGATTGCCGATTGTTTATAATGTAGAAGCATTATCAAAGAGAATTGTTTAAAATTCTCCAAGTCTGAATAAAAAATTCCATGAGAAATTCCCTGATTTCTCTAGATACAAAAGGAAACGAGAAGATCAGAGTTTTCATGTTTTTTCAAAGAGTAAACATTCTGAGTAGTATATGTGTAATATTAATTTATTTTGCGCATCTCTTCTTGTTCGAGATATTAAATTGGATGTTAAAATATATGTTCAATTTAGATAGAATATCAAAGAAAACAATAATATGGCAATTGTGATCGAGTTTGTTTATCAACTTGAGAGAGAAACGTCAAGTGAACATAGAGAAAATAAAGACATCCCTATTTATGTATCTAAATTGAAAATTAATGACTGACAGATTTCTATTGAGAATTATTTAATACATGAATTTATTATATCTTCTTTTGTGAGAATATTATATTTAAGCTCGCTCATCTCTATTTCTCCAATACAATTTTCATCGACAATTTCGTACTCGATTATTAACGTTCCAACTAATATTCGTAACGATATCCATTTATATTCATTCGCAATATATATTTAATGCATCGAGAAAAATTTATTCAAGCTTCCAGAGGTTCGTATGATTTTTAGCACAAGGTTCGACATGTTATTAGCTGGAATCCTGCAATTATATTTGTAGCGTGACCTAACGGCGTGAATAAATTGACGGCCTGAATTGGGACGATACACGCACTCTCCACGTCGTCTCTAATTTTCGCGATATCATTTTCGCTCTGCCCCTGTGCTATCTTGTCCCGGGAGATTTTTGCGAGCAATAAAAAGAATGAAGAAGAAACGTTAAACGCTTACGTGATTTTTTGCTCACGGGAGATTAGCTCCCTCGAAAGAAATTTTGGTTATTCATTTCTTACAACCTGGAGACGACCAATATCGGAGAGTTGAATAAAAAAAATGACGTGTAATTGTGAAAAATTAATCGCCGTCGTTTCTAAAGGGATTCGAAAGCCGGCGAATTCCCGTCGTAAGCGAAACAAGGGCGCGATCAGGAGCGCATCCTCTCACGTAGAGAGGAATATCCACCGGGCGCAGATGCAGCTCGCCTGTGATCGCTGGTAACGCCGCCAATCTACGCTCGTCGGGGGCGGTTCTCGGTTGTTCCCGGGGGGGTTGTTGGGCCAACCCCACGCGACGCGAGCGGTAGAGTAGGTAGGTAGGTAGGTAGGTGGTAGAAGAGCCACGGCATGAAAAAGCGAGCGTGTCTACGCGCAGCTGATAACAGTGCGCGACGGTGCGGTGTGCCTGCCAGCCGGCGTTCAAATCACAAAGAGCCGCGAGCTAGCGCCTATGTATCTAGAAGAACGTGGTTTTTCCCAATGACAAATCGGAGGTATTAAAAATTTTGGTGCTCAAGCATTATGAGAACGCTTTTGGATTTCCCTTTGCGAAAGGAGAATAAAAAAATGATTACGACGCCGCTTCGTGCATCCTTCACCGATAACAGTGCTTCCTCAATCTTCGTGCATCTTCACAATATTCTTATTCGTCCACGATTCCTCTAGGATAGAGTGAAAGAAGATCGTTCGTGCCATGAGCGACAAAGTCGCTGAGGCGAGTTAAACGTCCGTTGGAAGATCCTCGTAGACTGGGAAAGTGCTTGCACCAGGTTGCCGATCTCCGAAGAGGGTGCCCGACGATGTACGGTTTGTACAGAGCGTGGTTCGGCAGCGGGACCAGCGGCACCACCAGCTACCCCTGTCTCCAAGACACGTTCTCGCCACCTGATACGGTCGTGCGAGTCGGTAACGAGGGCGAGCACCAGTTCGTCGCGCACAAGGGCGTGCTCGCGGCTCACAGTGGATATCTCAAGGCCCTGCTGGCGAGCGCGGCGACGACGACGACGTCGTCGGCGAGTTCGCCCTTTGATCCCTCCTGCGCGACTGTCGCTGTCACGGCGACCAACGGACAGTCGCAGCGACCGGTCACCTCCGTATCGGTCTCGTCCATTGGTAAATATGGATCGTTCGATGAATAAAAAAATCCCTCGATTAATCCTGATTATGTTATTCCAAGTATTCTTTGAGCTTAGAAGATCTTATATGTTGAGAGAGATTACCCTTTATTTATCTTCTTAATCAAGAATATGTAGGAAGAAATATCTCTTTCTCTTCCTTGAATCAAATAGTCGACAAGAACGCTTAAGGATTAAAAGAATTAAAATTCTCTTAGTATTTTTGCAATGTTCGAATTATTATATTGGACAGCAAAGATTATATTACGTAAAGTGATGACTAGTTTTGTTTATATACATCTTGATTTCGTTAATGAATTCTGAATAGAAATTTTTTAAGTTTGCCGTCTTTACCGTCTTTAGTCTGCTATACATAAGATCTGCATAACATAAGATATTAAATTAAATATTTGATAATATTTGAAAATGCTTTCCAAGATATTTTCTACTGCTGACATTATGAATTCTTTTCTGTTTTTGCAATTTTTTTTCTTAAAAAGAAAAGAATTTATATCAGCATAGAAAATGCAATAAATATGCAGCGTTTTCCGAATATATTAAATAAGGAATAAATATAAAACTTAGAACTTGTTTCGAAAAAAATGACGCTTTCCAAAAACTGCTTTTAAATAATAATCAATGGCGAGACGGAATAATTAACAAACTTTTATCGGTAACACCGTATGCTACCGTTACTTCCAATCTCTCATTGGGATTTTCCAATAATTATCCAATTCAATCCAATTCAATTTGATAATTGAACCCGGATTCACAAACGGTGGTAAGTCTACATTTGTCAGTTTTCGGAAACAGCATGCATTGCAAACATAAATTCTCTATTTGTAATATTGTAATTTAAAAAAAAATGTTTTGCACAATAATTATCTTTGTAAAATCATCTATAATTATTTATTTTAATTCGCTAATGATTCACTCTCAAATTCTAGTCATAAAAAACTATCTACAGATTATAATTAATTTTTTTTCAAGTATTCTCGAAAAATTATCTCTCTTTCAGATTGACATCAAATCGGATTAAAATTCAGACTTTAATAATAAAAGAAAATTGTACATGAGACTAGCTTCTAATTTCTTGTACAAAATGAACGGAAAAATTATTCATCAAATATGTATTAGAGTCTTAAATCTTGTAAAAAATTCTCGAATCTTTTAGACACTTTTATTTAAAATTTCAGATAAAGAGAATATTTTAAAGATTTTTTAGTGCAATTTTTTAAAATAAGATTTTTTATTATGTGTATTTTCTAATGCATTTACTTATATAAAGAAAAAACACAGCTATTTAAATTTCAAGTGTTAAACTTGTACTAAAAAAAATTAAATAGCTTTTTATCAGTTTATTGTTAAAAGACACTAAATAGAGATAAAACAGACATATTTATAATATACTTTTCAAACATATAATAATTCTCATAACTTGATTTATCGGTAGATTACCGATTACTTACATTGGAAAGGCAAAATAATGAAGAAAATTTTATTAAAAATTTCCTGAGCCCACTAAAATTCTATAAAAATGTCCCGACTTTTTCAGATATAAAACAAATCCCTGAGAGAATTCTAGGATCTCCATGCTTTTCTAGGAGATAGACACCCTATATTAATTCGCGCTCGATATTTCGAACGATTAACGAATCACCTCCCGATTTGACGGCAGGTGGAGAGGCGTTCGCGCCGCTACTCAACTACATGTACACCGGGCGGTTGGAGGTGACACTGGACAACGTTTACAGCGTGCTGCTGGCGACGCATCTGTTGCACATGCCGGGCGCCCTGGAGCAGTGCAGGGCCGCGTTGTTGAGGCTGCGGGCGCCGCCGCCGCCGTTGCCGACGTCGGCGACGTCGTCGACGACGACCGCCGGCTCGCCACCGATCGGGGGGACCAGCATTCTGCGGCCCATACCGAGCCGGCTGGTGGTGGGACCGCCACTCTGCTGGCCCCCGACGACCCCGCTCGCGTACTCGCCGGCATCGGCGACCATGTCGCATCATCTGCCGTCGATGCAGCCGCTGATGCGACCGACGACCGTGCCGTCCAGTATCATCGCCTCGAGAGAGAAGCAAGAGCAGTGCGTGCATTATAGGTTCGCAGTAGAATGATGATTCTTTTCCGTGATTTTGAATAAGAAAATTGTACGAGTCGAAAAGATTTAACTCTGTGTTCCGAAAATTTTATATAAAATCTTCAATCAAGAAGATTAGATAAAAATTTATAATCTTGTAAGATTATTATTATATTAGTATTATTATATTGTGTATCGTTTTTATTATCATTGATGATCTTCGTTATTGTACTTTCTTGGATTTTTATTTAATTATGACAGCTTACTTTAATCCCAAAATTATTATTATTTATTTAGAAAAGATAATTGTATCTAAATTACATTGTACTGAAAATAATACATTAATAACTTTCTTTGTTTATTAATAGAATCGTTCAGCTAACTGTTTCAAGATATTTCAGTACAAAGAAGTTTGAGTATAGCAATAAAAATTTTCAAGTTTTTCAGAAAATTTATTTTAACTATAAATTTAAATAAATTATCCAAATTATCCTTGATTTTATTGATAAAAACAATAGTGCATATTCAGCAACGATTCATAACATAATTTCTATACATAATAAATAATAATAATTAAGCTGTGATAAAATGTGACAAAAATAAAGAAAAATATAATTTCTTTCACAAAAGTATTTGAAAAAATATTTCAGAGTTTCGAAATACTTGATATATATTTCCAGATTAATAGATAGAAAAATATGCACAAATGTTGCAGCGTCAATGAGATAGCAAAGTCGCCGCCGTCCTCGCCAACTTTACGTCATAAACGTCCGAGACCGAGCTCCAGCAGATCGAGGACACCAGAGATCGTGTCTACCGTCTCGACCCTACCATTCGTGGCAGCAGCCGCGGCCGCGTTTACCGCGTTTACCGTAACGAATAGCACGGCGAATTCCACGACAAGAACGTCGTCGCCGTCGCGCTCCATCTCGCCGACACCGACCTCCGTGTCGCGGACGCACTCGCCTGCGCATCATCGCGACAATGAAAATTCGACGACGGATCGCGACGAGGCTCAACAAGAAGCGGAGATCTCCGCCAAATCGCGCAACGTCGAGCAACAACGCCGATCAGACTCGTCCGAGGATGGAACGTCGAGTCACAATCGGATCAGCAACAGCAACAGCAACCACGGAAACATCGCGACGTCCTCGGAACGGGACGATCGAGCGCGTTCTCGTCGCCGAGCGCGAGCCTCCTCGAGAGAGGCCGCCTCCTCGAGCACCGTCTTCTCCGTGATATACGACATCGCGTGCTGCGATGGACCGGTGCGCTTTCACCGAGTCCTGAACGAGAACTATTCGTCAGCAACGTCAGCGCACGGATCCGGCGCGCAGCCACGTCCGCAGAGGAACTGTCAAGTGACGGCGGAGAGCGAGGACCCGTCGAGCGAAAACGACGAGAACGGTGGACCCGCGAGCGGCCGCAGGAGCGGCCTCGCGCGCAGTCCCAGCAACGACTCCAGCAACGACGCCAGCAACGCCAACAACGGCGGTTGCTACACCTGCGGCTACTGTAAGCACACCTTCAAGTCGCAATATTGCTACAGGAAGCACGCGAAGCGGCACTTGTTGCCGCCGACGAGGGTCAACGAGACGACCAGCGACAGCGGCGACGGAGGTTCGAGACAGGAAGCCGTCGCTGCCACAGCTGCCACCGCCGCCGCCGCCGCCGCCGCCCACGGAAACAGGAGAGAGGTCAGATTGCTGGATCTGAACGTGCAATACTATCCCTGCAAGATTTGCGGATGCAAGTTCCCGAGTTACTACTTCGTGCACAAACACCGCAAGCTATGCCATGCGAACGACGAGGAGAGACAGGTCGTCACCGACGGAACCATCGCGTCGAATCGCGACGTGAACGTGTCCTCCCCTCAGGATGCTCCGTGAAACGAGAAGACGCGATTCCCCTCGTCACTCTGGACAGATAGGTACTGGGAGAATATATTTGTATCCACGATTATTTTTTAATATCATTTAAATTCGGTATCTTTTCATTGTGAGATAATCTTTGTTCAAAATGAATCAAGTAATATTAATTATAATTTAATCATATTGGATTTAGACGCTATCCGTACTGTAATATTTTTTAATGTTAAAAATTGAAAAAAATATTTCGTGTGTGTATAATATTCAATAAAAATAATTAACATAAAATATTAATTTATTATTAATATATTAGTAATATAGAAAAATATATTACTTTTTTCTTAATATTCTCTAAATTTTTACGAATAAAATTTAATATAATATATGCATGTTCAAATTTGCATGTTCAAATTTTCCCATATTTGTTACTTAAGCTGTTTTCAAAACTACATATTTAATAAATGACACGCTGTAGTGTCATTCTGTCATGAAATTGTATTATTCACTTGAGGCGATATTTTATTATTGCATTTCTCGATATTTAAACATAATATTTTTGTTGTAACGCGATTCTATTTCTTTCAGATTTTACTCTCTTCTATTCTCAACGAAAATATTTATAGACGGAATTTTACAAGAAAAATGGCACTTCAATGGGACTCAAGTATCGATACTTAGGCGTCAAATATACGATTGCAGATAAAATAAATTAGAAATTATAAAAATCATACTGTTATAGAATGTAATATATGAATAATAATCTTTAACATATATATAATTATAAAGCACATTCTCAAATTACCTCAGATTGTATAAACTGAAGAAATTAATTAACTGAAGAAACTGAATTAGAAAACATGCTTCCTAAGAACATTGAAAAAGGAATTTATACAACTATTAGTTTAGATAGATAACAATTAATCCTATTTCTCCTCTGTGTGTTCTTTAGCATTATATAAATATATATATGTATACCTCGATGTTACAACACACTCTGCGACTTAATGCGTTGATACATATATTTCACGTATCAGGAAACTGTATAAAATAAGAATAAAAGTAACGTACGTCTACGACATAATTATGTAGCTGATGTAACAAAATTTTCAATATATATACACAACAGTCTAACTAGGAAAAAAATAGTTATAACACGAATAAAAAGAAACGCTAATTTCTCCAAAAACGTAACAGCACGTGTACGAGTTAGATATTTAATTTAAATTTAGACTTCTAGGATTAAACGTTAACTCGTTTCTCATTCGTTTCTCGCATAAAAAAAATTTCAGCCTGTCATAGAATTGAGCTTTATACCTCAATAATGTATATATAGCGTATAGATTTTTGGATTTAATTAATGCAACTTGTAATGCGAAATATATCGGCATACATGTTGAAAAATATTCTTCAAGTTTTACAAAAATAAACTATGCAATTACGTGATACAGCGCGAGAAAGAGAGATTATAATATTATTAAATATCTTATCCCGCCCCTTCTTTGTCGCGAAAGTGACGTAATGAAATCAATGAATCGGCAGTGTTTTTTCCGAAAGTAAATGTATTTTTTGATGTATTATGAATAATGTATTTTTTAGCATTGTCTCTATATATCATATTAATTTTGAAACTCGAGATAATTTCAATATTCCGGTCAAAATCAAGAAAATATTAAAAATGATTTGTTTAACTTCGATCTTGTTAACTTTAATTCTTATTATAATAATGCAAAGATATAATTTATACAAATAGAAGTAAATACAAATATAGAAAGCATTGTGAAGTAATAAAAATTGAATTGTCAAAAAAAACTCAAGCTTACGAGAGAATCTCGCAAACTGAAAAATTTTGATTTGGATGAAACGTTACATATATGTAAGGAGAGGAGAAAGAGAGGAATAGATGAATTTAAAAAATTTCAATTGCAACCTGAAAAACAATACTAAAAGCCGAAACCATCTCTCACAGAATGGTTTTTTTGCCTTTCTCGATATATCTCTAAATTTATTCGAGGTATCAAAAAATACTTTATATAAAAATTTCGTGATAAGAATTAATAGAGTAATTTTTTTCAAAGATTTTTGAATTTTTTTTGAGAATTATTTTTTCTAAATTTTGTTAATCTCGTTAAATAGAAGTTTTTATGATAAAACTTTTATATAATACATTTTTTGATATCTCGAGTGATTTTAGAAATGTATTGAGAAAAGTATAAATTTTCGTATAAAATTTTTGTATAAAATTTCATATTCTATAATCTATAGTTTTTTATAATCAAAATTTTCCAGTTTGCGAGATCCTCTTGTCAAACTGCTAGGGATGGTAATGCGAATATCAATGGAATGATGCAAAAGACCAAGAATATCAATCAGTTTGAAACTTACCGACGACGTCGATCGACGGTGCTTCTTCGTCACTGGTTTCCATGGGAGTATGATTCTCCTTCTTCTTATCCTTTATTCTACTACTGGTTGCCACGTTAGCACCACTGCCGCTTGTGTCCCTGCAGCCTGGTTTCTTCTTGCTGGATTCCGACTGGATAGTCGACACATTTGTCGCGTTGATATTCATTGAGGATGCGGATGAAGACAGCGCGCTTTTACCTTCCATTCTGTAATAAAATATAAATAAATTGTTAAATTATATTAAATAATATAACCTACTTAACTTTATTTCTTTCTTTTTTATTTCAATGATATTTTTATTCTTCAAGAAAAAAAATGCAGCGTGCCTTGTCACAAAAATATAAAATCTTATCGTGATAAAATTTCGTCGATTGTGCGTCGAAAAGCAGCGGGAGTTCGACATTCGTCATCGTTCTCATCGAACAGAATCACATTTCCAACTATCGAGTCAATTACGGTGATGAGAGCCTACGTAAACATAATCCACTAACCGGTAACCATTGATTAGCATTACAATCTGCTAATAATTGATCTTCCCCCACTCTTGTTAAGCCGCCGTCGCTGGCTGCCGCAACCATCTCCACCTCATCACCCCTGGCATATCCCCATTACCTTTCCCCGCTTCTCTTCAAACCGACTTTCCATACCTCAACGACTTGTGCCTTCATTCGGCTATTGCGCAATCACCAACGTTAAGTAAAACTTATCTCTATTAATACAGTTTCATTGGAGATAAAAAAATAGATTAAGCTTCTTTTTTTTATATATAGTTTTATAATATTCGTGCGTTCTATCCGAGCAATGTATTGTAATCGTTAAATGGGTATTCGCGGGTCGTCTCTCCCACCGTGAACAATATTGAGATTGGTTCGTTGGAGTGGGGTATGTTTGCAGAATAAATATCTTCCGGCCGATGGTTACGGTTCATTCAATCAATCAGTCCGCGTATACGCTTTTATATAAATCAGAATCGGGACCAATTGGTATGCGCGTTTCGCAAAATGAGCCGCGCCACTCTTTTATTTCTTACTCGTATATCGAGTAAATGATCAATATCGCGCTGCGAACACTTGGAAAAAAAAAAAAAAAAAAAAAAAGCAGAGAGAATACGATATTCGCGCGAAACATTCGATCGGCGCATTCATACATGCGCCAAAGTGCATCTGATGATTCCAATGCACGCTATAGCTCGATGATTCAAAATCTAATAGTCTAACATTCGCTGTGAAATGTATAATTATTTTTTGTTTAACGTCGCTATGTATAATTAATATGTAAATATAAGTTATACGTGTAATTACGGAGAGAAGTTGAAGAAAAACATACATTTTAAATATTGTGCAAATATTGGTTAAAAATATATAAGATGGCAACGTTTTCATACTTAACGTACATTACTTTAATATCCTTCCCCGTTTCCAATTGCGCGTCTTCTTTCGAATCCATCTTTACCAAGTGAGATTCCTTCGAGTCGGTCTTGTTTTCTTTGTTCTCCTTGCTTGTCTCTTTAGAATCCTTTGCGCTCGACGTCGTCGATGTCGCCGAGACGCTCGACGCTGTCGTGTTCAAGACTGACGTCGTTGTCGTTGATGCCGTTACGGAATCTGCCGTTACGCTAACGCTCGATGCTGTCGAGCTCAGGGGAGTCGTCGTCGTCGTCACCGTCGTGGTCGTGACGGTTGTCGACGACACGCTCGATGTAACCGTGGTACTCGTTGTGGATGTAGATGTAGTCGTTACCGAACTATTCTGAGGATTCTCCTGAGTCTTTTGTTGCTGTTCCCGCTGTAACCTCGTCGTTATCCCTGCCGTTAAAATATCTATGGGATTTTCCTGAGTCTTTTGCTGCTCTCGCTGTAACCTCGTCGTTACTCCTGTCGTTAAAATATCTATGGATCCAATAGTCGAGCTCGTATTATTTACCTGAAACAATATCATATTTACATGTTATAGTACATATAGTACATATAGTATCATTATATTATTGTAGCAATATCTTAAGAGATAAAAGTTTTTCATTCTTGTTTAAATCTTGCAGATGTGATTAAGTGTACAATATAAATAAAATGCTTTATGTTTGCAAACAATTATTTCAATTTAATCTTTCTCAGGGAAGTAAAAATATGCTTATAATCCAAGTTAGAATACAGTGATGATATGCAATTATACAATATTATTACAATATTATAAATTCCAAAACATTTCAAGGAAAATTTCTTTTAAAATAGAAAATCAAAATGAGTAGTGAAAGGCAGTAAAGAGCCAACGCAGTTGTAAGGCATGGATAAAATCATTTCCAACAATTCAATTTTAACGATTCTTTTGCTTTATTCCATACGTTTCGGACTCAATTCGAGTCTTCTTCAGTAATTTTAATAAAAACAAAGAAAAAAAATATTAAATGAGATCACAATAAAAACGCAATATCAGTAAAATACACGAGAGAAGAGAAAACATAGTCCCATGCATGATCTCTAAGAGCGACGCGACTTCGTCAGGGCTGATCCATCCGAAAAAGCCCGATGCAAGTAGCCCTCTCAGCGGTACAAAGCGCAAAGAGCGATGCACTAACAAAATAAATATAACAAAATCTAGTCACAAGTCTTAAAAATAGAAATTCATTAACGTTAGTCAAAGGCCACTCACTCGGACAAGAGACGAACCGGCAGAAACGACACGAACAATCAGCATACTAACAATCAAATAGGCCGAATTCGAACGGCAACAGTAATGATGTCATAATGTGGTCGGCAATACCATATACAAAGAGGACAAAGCCAGTCAAACAGAAAACAACCCGTTAAATCTTAGGCATGTTTTTATTGTGATCTCATTTGATATTTTTTTTCTTTGTTTTTTATTAGAATCACTGAAGAAAGCTGAATTGAGTCCGAAACGTATGGAATAAAGCAAAAGGATCGTTAAAATTGAATTGTTGGAAATGATTTTTTCCACGCCCTACAACTGCGTTGGCTCTTTACTGCCTTTCACTACTCATTTTGATTTGTTAATTTAGAGGAGCCTTTAACATTGTTTATTTTATTAAAATAAACAAATAGAAATATTTTATTAAAATAAAAAAGTGTTTTTAAATTATTAAAGTGCAATACATGACAGGTATTATAATCATTTTTTACTGTTTTTTTGCTGTGTTTTAGTAATGTCGAAATAAACATTCACTTTTGAATATACACGATCTCAGTCATTTGACAATTAATTTCGATATTTTGATATTGAATTATATAACATTTGAAAAATAAAATCGTTATAAAGACAACCAATATCAGTTATTACATAAGAAACATATTTAGAGGATAATGCAATCTGCTTTTCTAATGTTTATTGTTCAAATGTTCTCTATAAACTATAGATGGTATAAAAGTATATATGCACGATTCACGATATATAATTTTACACGCATTCCCTCTTACACTCTTGCAGCTATTTTTAGTTGAGGATAATATATACAAATAAAGTATAATCATTTAGGATTGCATATCTCTGTCGATTCGAGTCATTAAACAGAATCTCTTTGTTTTTCAATATGTTATATATGACGAGATCAAAAAGTTCGGTGAATATCTGAATAAGAAAAAATTTATTAAAGTAAAATATATCAATTGCAATTAGTCTTTTTTAAAATATTCCCTCTGGTTTGCCACACATTTATTCTAACGTTTTTGGCATTTTTCAAAACAATGTTAAAATCTTCTTTCATAAATGTCTTTATTTGCACTGTCATGACTGTTTTTATCTCCGAAATTGATTGAAAACATTTCTCTTTCATTATTCTTTTCATTTTCGGGGAGGAATTTGAAGACACACGACAAATCTAGCGAATACGATGGAATACAAGTAGTAATTTTTTTTATTCGTTAAAAATTGCCGTATTAAAGGTCATGTGTGGCATAAACCGATATCATGATAAAAGATGAAATTATATTTACTCATTTAAAAAATTTTTTACATATCGTTTCGTAAACGCTATCTAATCGTACGAGAGATGTTTAGATTTTCATAAATGTTCTGAATAGTAAATCACCTATTTAATTGAACTATTTTGCTGATTTTCAATTTTCATTTGTTTTAGATATCCCTTTTTTCATATTTAACAAATTCTTTAACAAACTCTTTAACAAACTTTATGAAATTGATCAAATCATTTGAACATTATTTATTTTGAAAGTTATTGCAGCATCTTCATAAACTAATACTAACATTTCATGTTATTTTTTATCACATTTTTAAAGTTTAAAACAAAATTTAATATTAATGCGTTCTTCGAAATCCATATTCATACAAATTTTAATGAACCCATCTTCACACAACCGTAATTGAATAATAATTGACCGAACCGAATAAATTAAAACTTATCACTATTGTAAGGTTTTGTAATTATATATATCATAGTTAGAAATTCCTTCTCTTTCAACTATGGCATAATGTAGCGGTATTCACCGTATTTTTTGATCACAACTCATAGTTTAATGTACACTAATTAATATTTTAAAAAATAAAAAAATTGATATAAATTTTAACATGTGCATTTTTCGTATAGATTTTACTATATTTAATTATAATAAAACTTACTTTATTATTCGGATTATTTCGAGAACTACGCGTCCGTTGACGCGACTTTCGTAGAAGTTGTTTATAATTTTCCGTTTTCTTAGTGAGGTAGTAGTGATGTACACAATCTTGAACGCCCTTATGTTCTAACGATTGAGCTATCACTCCGTAATTTTTAGGGTGCTGAAGATATTTCTCCTTGAATGATTCATGCTCTACGGAACTCCATACATTGATCAATTTACGCTCACTATGCAAAGCTTCCAACTCTTCCGGTTGGAGCAGTCCATTACGATTTTGGAAGGCGATCCTTCGTTGCTTCGCATCCAACAGCAAAGGCGGTATAACTGCATACGAACGCATCTTCTTATCTTCCAACTGTCATAAATAATAGTTTTATTTAACTCTTTAGAACGTTAATAATAATAAAAAGGCACTGTTCTTATCAATATACTTTTGTGATGCATCACACATACAATTTTTATTCAGCTTTGTATTTTTTTTAACTCAATATTAAACGTACTATTAATTAATTAATTAAAAAGCATATTGATAAAACATTTTGACATATAAATAATATTTTTGCTTAAAAAATAGATTAATGTTTTTGGTCTTTACCAATAGTTATGGATCCAATATGTTTCTCTTGCTTATTATTACATTACGCTAATGTAATTTCAGTTTAATGATCAAACGCACGTTTTTGCAGAATTAATGGCGGAGTATATGATCCATAACTAATGTATGGTGTGAGGATAAAGGTGAAGGCAGCAAAAAAACGCACGTTACTAACCTGACAGGCTTTAATGGAATTTTTTAAATCTTGCAATGTTTCTTCCTGGGAAATCAGTAAAGGTTAGATATCTTCCATGAAGCATCATCAAATAATTTTAAAACAAGTATTAATTAAAAAAGAAAACACGGGAAACAAAAATAAAAAGAAATAAAAATGCCTAACAATACTTTTTCAGAAAATTATTAAATGAGAATTGATCGATGTAAAAATTTTCTAAAAAATTTTTCAAAGAAGATCAGATTTAATATGACATTGCAAAGAAACATTTTATTTCGAAAACTTTTCTACCGAGCGTGAATTTGAATCAATTATGATTTTATTATTTCACACATCTACTAGTACATCCGATGGTAACTTTCAATCATCTCCATCCATTTATCCAGTTTGCCATCCTTTCCCTGGTCCGTATACAGTAGAAGACCAAGATAGAAAACAAATGTCTAAAGATAGGAAGAAACTGTCAGTTACCATCCTTTGATTATAATAATGCAAACCTTTAGTTATTCGTTTGATGTGACAATGGCGCTTTCACAGAATTGCGCTCTAAGGAAAACGAAAAAAAAAAGAAATAAGACAAATTAATGAAAAAATTGACAAAAAAAATATTATGTTAATCTTCACTGTATTAAGAATATAAATAATTAAAATACTACTTATATATAAGCATAATTCGGTATAAATATATCAAGAAATTCGATGATGCAAAAGTTAAATTTATCATAATGTTGAATTATAAAATGCTGTTTTTTCTTTCTCCAGATTAAGATTATAAAGTTTTAGTAAAACTATATATTTATAATGTTCAATATTTATATTCAATTTATATGTAGCTTCATCAAATATCTTATACATCTTAAAGTACCATAATTAATAATTAGGAAAATAAATATTTAAGAAATTATAATAAAAAATTGTAGTAAAAAAATAAAATCTATTTGCCAAACAAATAATATTGATTAATTTACTATAAACATGTATTGAATCTATTAATTGTTCTTTGAAACAATATTTAAACAGACAAGTAATTACTATTTAAGTAATAAGTAACATTTTTTTGTCTAATGGCAACATCAGAAAAGAAACTTGCATACCAAGACAGTTTTTATTTTATAAATTAATATCACTGATGTCAACAGAACTGAGTAGATACTTCTGAATCGAATTTTAACAAGACTCAATAGATGTCTGTCAACAATATTTTAAAGTCCCCATTTTCAAGTTGTCAAAAAGAATGTTCATAAACGCTAATTTTAGTAACGTGCCTTCTTTTTACTATATTCCCCGTTCCATTTTTTCATCCTCACCATAGTTTTCTCTCTTTTGCAACGTGTCGCATCGCTCACTTCACGAGACTACTTGGATAAATAGAATGACAGTAACACGATATACCTCTTGTTCCTGTAAACCATCCATTATCTCTTCAAGATCAGCTTCACTCTTGATGCGAGCACCAACTCTGTTGAAACGTTCCTTGTCTTCCCTCTGTTTTCGCAACTCGGGAAACACCTTCTCGAAGAACTCACGGTTCTTTGTCTCCTTCGATTTCCTTTTCTGCGTCGCCTCCAGCCGTTCTACCTTCCGATGCCACTCTTGAACCAAAATTGTGTACGTTTGCGTTTGCTGCTGATGGAGAGACGCACGTTCGGTATGATCTCTCCGTAGCCTCGCTATGAGTCTGGTTCGCATACACGTTTGATGCCGCGTACGATTCTCTTGATACACACTCGTATCCGACGGTTGATTATATAAAGGTAGTTCTATTTTGGGGCCTAGTTTTTCCATGAGTCTATGAGCCTCTTCCGCCTTTCGCTGTTAATAAAAATATGCCAAATTAAAATTCATTAATCGATTTTTTTCTGTACGCTTAAGATATTAATATAATCAATCTAATTTTGACAACCTTTGATACCTATAACTCGTACTGATACACTGAGCGCAAAAGACAACGGGCGTAATCTAAATTTTATTTTTTTAAAACGTTTATAAGACGCTTAATATAATTAAAATGGATTAAAATATCACGTGTATATAATTTACCCTATTTTCAGCGTAGATCTTTTGTGCCAATGATTGATGCTTTGGTTGCTGCGATTGTTCCTCAATATTACGTTTGAGACCAGTCGCTTCTAAAGGCTTATTCGCTGCTTCTTCCAATTCTTTTATCCTCTTCCGCAACATGTTCAACTGATTCTCTCTCTTGGCGATTTCTCTGTCGACTTTGCCGATTTGCTGCAAGAGCTCATCCTTGGTACTTCTAAGCGCATCCTCTTGCGTATTCGGCTCTGGAAGAGTAGGCGAAATGGCTTCCGTTTGCGGCGTATATGCACCCACGGCAGGCTGCTCCTAGCAAAAATTCATCATATCATATTGTGTCGAATATAAATATAATTTATATTTATTTTATTGTTCTCCTATTTAACGATACGTCCAATTTATATTTATACAGCATTCTTTTATTTATTTCAATTTGTAGTTCTTTAAAGATATCTCCATTATATAGGTATAATGTGTCGGATTGTCAAAATAAATTCACCATTACATCATTACACTCACCCTGGTATCTATCCTAAGCGGTTGCTGCAACTGCACGACATGCTGCTGCTGCTGCTCCTGCTTACCGCCGCAAGGGTCCGCGGGCGACAAGCTCTGACAGCGCGACTGTGGCTGCGATTGCAGCTGCTGGACCTGCTGATGCGGCTGACCTAGACGAATCTTTTTGAAGGGCGGTGTGTCTTGCTGCAGACTGGCCATGTCGATGGCGGTGCGCGTACAATACTGATCCGGTTGGACGGGCATGAGGCCTACCCGCGGCGGGTTTCTTGCGTGCTGTTGATACTCGGACGCAGTTGGCGACGGTATCGGCGTCACCGACGAGCCGGTAGGCGGTAAGAGAGATATCCTCGGCCGATCGCCTCTGCCGGTTCCCATGCCGCTATACTCGGCCACTACCCCAACACCGACTTGCGATAGAGGACTATTGCTCACACTGATGGCGATCCTCTCGTTCACCTGAAAAGAAAACACCACGTCAGAAATTTTATTCCGCTCCCACTCTTCGTTGACTCGGTCTATCTCTCTCTCTCTCTCTCTCTCTCTTTTCTCTATCCGTTTCTATTCTATCTCATCGTCGTCTTACTTATTCTTTGCCAGAGGTTCAATTTATCTCTCGTTCCACTCTCTTCTAACCTTCTCGCCGCGAAACTATTTCAGGAAAATCGATGACCCGGTTCAAGAAAGCGCGCGATATATCCCCGTGACCGCTGCACTGTCCCCTACATCTCCCGCGCGCAATCATCTGTTCGAACTTGTCTTTTCTTTATTTCTATCGGTGGTTTGGTTTTGTGCACAATGCTGGCTCACTCGTTGTTCGTCGTGCTTTGTCCCGGACGTTGTTCGCAAAGCTAAGTTTCATAGTATCCATTATGTCGTAACGTACAAATTACTCTATAAGCCGTGACAATTAAATAACCAGCTCGAAATGTATGTAATAAATGTATATAAGAAACAAACAAAATACGATGCGATTGTGTACATATATACATGTAGGACGCGTACGTATGTAGCCCTGGAGTGGGCGACTGAAACTTTCACCCGCCCACTCGCATCGTGCTACGAGCTAAATATGATAATGTCTGTTAGAACTAAGTTATGCCGTGGATCTAACTTGATTTAAGGTTCGGGATACTTTATAAAAATTGAATAATCGATATTCGGTAATATATCGTTGCACGATTTATTAGAAATTTTTAAATAAATTTCTAAAAATCTCTTGAAATCTCATGAAAAATGAGAAATAGTTTTCATGAGAAAACTGATTGTGAACTTCATAATCGGATACAAAGTCTATTTAAATATTAAATATTAAAGGTTTTCTGAAAACTCGTGACTCAGATTTGTTGTTCAAAATTTCAAGTAGAAAGAATTTTTAAGAGATTTTTGAATGCAACTTTTCAAAATAAATTTTTTTATTATTATTGTGCGTTTTTTAACGCTTTTCACTCTATGGAGGAAACATAAAGAGCCATTTAAGTGCTAGATTTAAAAATGTACTGAAAATCTGAGTAACTTTTGTAAGATGAATGTTTCTTCATTTGTATAACATTTTTATATTTTCATCACAAAAAATTATATTGAAAACTATATACTATATATTCTATACTTTCAGATATTGAACAAAGATAGATATATATATTTATAATATATTTTAAATACATATAATTTATCTGACCAATCGGTGGGGATTGGCGATTACAATATAAGAACAAATGAATTATTTTTTTTTTAATTCTTTAAATTCCTTGAAAATTTCCTGATTTCTATAGGTATAAAAAATCCCTGAAAATTTTAGATTCTCCATGTTTTTCAAAAAGTAAACACCCTATATCGTAATCGCGAATTGCTATTTATTTGAATATACATGCGTGTTTAACAAAAAAACCGTACGCATATAAATACTTCAAGAAATATCAACTTTCTTTTATTTATATAACTCTTATTCCTTTTTATACTACTGATTTAACTCTTCTCTATAATTATATCCAAATGTATTTTTGATTACATACGTATATACATGCGGTTTTTCGTCATAAGAATAATTTGTCAGCATGATGAAATGCAACATCATTGTAAAATATATATTTAAACGTCTGGCAAGGATGTGCACGTCGTTTGGTTCATCAATTTCTGTGCTAACAATGACGTGCAATATTTAAAACTACAGAGTGTCAGCGCGCGTGAATCGTATTGTTAAAAGAAAAAGAAAAAAAAGAGGAGGACCGATAATCGGTGAAAGTCAAGGACGAGGCCCCGTCTGATACGGCATGCGTTATATGTTTGTGTTGCGTGATTGCGTACCCCGATTACTCTAGAATTCGATTATGAATATGAATCTCCAACTCCGATATTTTTTTACAAAAACCTCATGACGTCGCACTCATGATGCGTTGCTCGTTACAATCAAGGAATCGCTTTTTCGAATTGCTTTCAATTGACTCAATTGCTAGCGAACAACCACGTAAGCTTTCTACGGTATCAATCTTCTACAGATTGTTTCGAATAATGAGAAAATGAAAAAAATTCGAGTTCTTCATTTTTCAAGTTTTTACTTACTATACATCAACAATGGCCTTAATTTGTAGAAATCGCGAGATAAACGTAAATAAGTCTAAAAACAAAGTCTCCATAAAAAGCTGAAAATCCACGCCATTATACATGTGTTTGTACGCGCGCGTGTGCGTGTACGCGTTCATTTTCTTAATATTCAAATATTTATATCAAAAGGAGGATAACAAGAGGAGCGTTGAAAGAAGCAATTTTCTCGAGACGGAACTTGTCCGTTTCCCGTAGCTATTTCTCGACTTTATTGCAATTTTACAGTTGCTCTTGAGAAAAAAAAAGGAATCCTCGTCGTTCCCGGGCATGCTCGCGTGACCGTGACCGTTCGATGCGTCGCGACGCCATGCGCGTATATCGGGGATATCCCGACCGAGACGACAGACCTCTAGGAAAAGGTGACGAGGAAGCGTTTGCGCGCGCACACACACACATATATATATATATATTTATATATATATATATATATATATATATATATATATATGTGTGTGTGCAGTTTCGCGCCATGGAAATACCTACGTTCGTGGTGCCGGCGCGATACGCGTCTCTCGCGGTATAGGCAGTCCCGGTGAGCGGCGGCGGCGGTGTTTGGCTGGCGATGACGGTCGGCTGGTTCGGAGGGGGTGCGGGCGCGGGAGCGGGTATGGGCACGGGGGCCGCCGGCGACGGTGCGGTGGTGACGACCGCCGCTACCGCCGGCGCCGACACCGAGGTCGGCGGATAGGAATGAATGTAACGGAGCATCGATGGTAGAGTGACGTAAGGAGTGCCACTCGCGGCACCGCCACCGCCACCGCCGCCGCCACCGCCGCTGCCAGCGTTGCTGCTCGCGGCGCCGTTGCTCGCGTTGCTGTTGCTCACGCTGTTGCCACCTGCCGCTGCGGATAAAACGTTCGGGACGCCACCGTTGCTGCCACCGCCGCCGTTGCCGCTCGCACCGCCGTTGCTCGCGTTGCTGTTGCTCGCACTGTTGCCACCACCTGCCGCTGCGGATAAAACGTTCGGGACACCGACCACGCCGCCGTTGCTGCCGCTGCTCGTGGCGGTGCTAACTCCAGCGACGACGGCAGGACCGCCCGCGGTTGCGGCAGCGGCCGCGGCCGCCGCGGAAGACGCGGCCGCGCCACCCTGCACGTACGTCGCTCCCGTTCCTACCGTCCTCGGAGACACCGGGCTGCTGCTCTTGATGTTGACATAGCTCTGCGTTGGTCTGCAATCGTCGTAAAATTGCATTAGACTCGACGACAGAGAGATTCGAGTACGATAGACCCGAGGCGAAAAGAGTCTCGCGAGGATCAAATTATTTTATTTTCGCTGCTGTATCAATTATTAGGCGCGTTATTAAATTTGCGACTGTAAATTTGATTTTTCTTGGGCGATTTATCTATTCTATATTACTTTGTCGAGTAATTTAATTGTTCATTTATTCTTTGACAATAATACGCGAAAGTATAAAAGTACAGATATAAACGCGAGATATAAACGCGTCAATCTGAGATAACCAACACCATTTGCGAACACCATTTAAGCCTTTCATAAACAGATGAGCCGATATGATATTCCGTAGTTGGTAAATTGATTAGAAGTATATAGGCACATTGAGATAATATTACTATATTTAAAGATTTAAAGATCGATATTTCATGTTCCTTTTCTTCATATTCTATTAAAGAATTCATAATTTCATCATTTATAGCACTGTCCTGTTTTTAAGAAAATGGAGCAAATATAAACAGCGAAATAATCCAAATCGCACCAACATTATTAATCATTTGGCAATAATAAATTAAGCCCGATTTGATTTATTCTACATTATTAAAATAAGTAAATAAATAAAAAAAATAAATATTCTGTCATAGATGATGCATTTGTATGAATTTACGGAGTATATTTTTGAAAAAAATATTTTACACATAAATACTGAGTGATAAAAATGATATCAGAACGATATACACACAGGACAATCTCATCATCTCTCAGTATTTATATTAATCATTCAACGAACTTGTGTTATAACTTGTGTTATCAAAACCGCGTCGCAGCAGTTCGTTTATCAGCTCGTGTGTCACCGGCACACGTCATACACACGGTTGATCCAATTTGACCGGCTTAGAAGAAAAAGAAAACTGTCAAGCATACGATTGACAGCGGCCTAACAACTTTATAGTCGATCGATATCCATCGCTTTTTTTTTCTCTGTCCAATCACGTTTACTATTCCGTCGAAGCTTCTGATTCCTTTTCCGAAGGCCATTCTGCAATTCGAAACGGCAAAAAAACACTTTCTCTTAAATTCGAACATTTCGCCAATTAATTAATATTGCGCGTTCTTTCTCTTTTTAGTCAATAAAATGATGTATTGCCGAATTGAATAATTCGCAATAGTATCGCGTAAAAAGTATTCCGTGTTATTTTGTACTTGCATGGATTCAATAGTCGCACCGTTTTTATAGACAGGGATTACATGCTATTGACATACATGTAAAAAAAAATATATATACATCGATAACGACCGAGCGAGATAACACAAGAATTACTCGAGACCACTGGATTAATATCAAAACACTTATAGCGAGACTAACATGAGGAAGTAAAACTGGATAGATATTTTTAAGATATTCTGCAAAAAATCAACATTTTATCTGCCTACTTAGAATTTTTAAATTTTTATCGTTGTAATAAATTCCGTAAAGAAAAAAATAACATACTTTACACATTTGACGAAATGATATTTTATAATCACCTGGTGTATACTATTTCATCATGGATCCTCTAGCAATTGTGAACTAAAATTATCGCTTAAACAGTACGCATTGATAACTCTCATTGAGAGAACGAGAAAGAGCGAGCTAGAATCGTGATAATAATTTAAATGTGCGCTTTAGTTGACTAATTCACTTGGCGATCTGGTTCATTAACTCGTCGGATGTTTACGCGAATAACGGTACTCGCCGACGAGATTTCTCGAATGTATCTCGTCGAACCAGCCTATAATCACGTTGAATCCGCTGCGAGTACGTCGCAAAGGAATGCACGGAAATTGCGGGGCATTAATCCTGAAATAAGCAGGACCGAGAAGCATATATACTCGTATAATAATAGTGTAATAAAAAAATAAAAAAAAATATTGCAGAATTAAAGTTATATTTAATTATATTGAATTGTACTGTATTTATTTATTTATATTGAATCATTATTATAATTTAATATTTTATTATATAATATTTAAAATATATTTAAAATATATTATTATATAATATAATATATTTAAAATATATTATTATATAATAATATATTTTAAATATAGATGAATTTTTTTAATTATAAATGTTAAGCCACTTTAAAAGAAAAGAAAATTTGATCAAATTTTCGTTAAAAAAAAACTCATTATCGGGAAAAAACTCTAATGAGTGAGTCTATAAATCTAGTTAACTCAGAATAAAAAATGTGATTGCAAAAATTGCAATTTCTCTACTTCCACTCTCCTCGTCAGGAATCACGCCGGTGGTTATTAATTTAATTGAACTAATTAGTGATCTTGACAGCATCGAGCACTAGATGTTAAATGGAATGGATCGATATCGAATGGTTCGAGTGTTAATGTGAAAAAAAAAGAATATAGTCTATCTTGCTAAATGCAAGTTTTTCTCAGTAACGTGCATCATCAATCAGTAACGAGCAAATTGCGGTTGCATGATTAAGTTTGCACGATAACGGTAATAGATCGAGATTAAATAGTGCTTCCATTACTAAAATAATAATAAAAAAAGACTGTAAACGATAATCGAAATAAAAGATTGAAACGTTCATATTCTTAAATTCGAGTTAACTGCGCTTTAGATGAGATATGAGATTTGTGATACACAGAGAAAAATATCATTCTACTATAAAGAAAAGCGATTATTCAGTTTATTTTTCTTTTTTTAAGTAATAGTCATAGTAATAGTACACAGTAATAGTTTTCTTCAACAAAGAATATATTCTTGATAATAGTCTTAAAATATAATCATTACAAGTATTATAAAATCTCATTATCATGTACTCAGAAGAAGAATTTATTTTCTCTTCAAGAATATTGTAAAGTTGTATCAAAGAAAAACCAAACTTACTTTACGTCAATTCTATGTAGTAAGCAAATTTTTATTTTAATATTCTTGACTAAAATATTGCACTTACAATTCAGAATATATTCAATTAAATTTAATGCTTGTAGTGAACTTGTGATATATTTGCGAATATATAAACTTATGATATATTTAAAATAAATAATATTTACTCGAATACAGTATACATTTTTCTCTGTGTACAGAGCTAGTCTAGTTCTTGGAGAAAAAATTAAAAATCGAATTGTCTGTCATTCGAATACACAGAGAAATATATCATTCTACCAAGAAAAGCGATTACTCAGTTTATTTTTTTTTTTTTCAAGTAATATTTTTTTTCAACAAAGAATATATTCTTGATAACAGTCTTAAAATATACTCATCACAAGTGTTAGAAAATCTTATTATTATGTACTCAGAAGAAGAATTTATTTTCTCTTCAAGAATATTATAAAGTTGTATAAAAAAAAAATCAAACTTACTTTACGTCAATTCTATGTAGCAAGCAAACCAAATTTTTGTTTTAATTTAATATTCTTAAAATACTGTACTTAATAAAATTCAGAAAATATTCAATTAAATTTAATGCTTGTGATGAACTTATGATATACTTGCGGTTATACAAACTTATAATATACTAAAAATAAATAATATTTATTTGAATAGAGGATACATTTTTCTCTGTGCGCATGAAAAACCTTTCCGATAGATATACATGTGCCTGTTAAATAACGCAAAGCAACCGTATAATGGGGTTCATCGAGTTTCGTTAAGAAGAAATAGATTACAAGATCGGCGAAATCCATAATTGATACGTGTTAATCCGGGTTGACGCCTGATGCAAAACGTCATATTTTCTCGAACGCGATCGCGCGATTTGTCCCACGCAAATAACATTCGCGTCTAGCAACGACCTCGTTCCTGACTGATCCATCTTTCTCTCTCTTTCTCGCGCGTATTTCAGCCCCGAAGGTTCCCATCGATCGCACCCCAGGCAAAAGCGAGTCGTCGGCCTGACCCGCGACATTCGCGAGGAATTATCGACATCCAGTACCTGATATAGCGGGATAGTTATTTCTCACATTTTCTCTGTTTCAACCATGTATTTATCTCGATGCACAAAAATATCGGAGTACTCGATGCACATTTGATTCTCCGATTCGATCCAAAGATGAGATAAATTTAAAACTGTACGAAAGGTTACCGTTTATTTTCGTGATAAATAATTTCCACGATTTTTATTTTAGGAATACGTCGAAACAAACAACAGTTCCATTTTAACGGGCCGCTCGTTCGACTCGTTTCGTCCGCTGTTGCTATAGCAGCGTAAATTATGCGTGCTCCATCATCATTTCCACCCGAGAATGCGTAAAGTCATCTCGCGAGAACGCATTTCGATTTTGCGTGCAGGTTTAAAATTAGATGTAGGTGAAGGGGTAGGCGCGAAATAAGCGGCCGAAAAGAAAAGACGGCCGAGCGAGAGAGGAGGGCCCGAGTGGAAGAAGCGTACCGAAAAGAAACGGGGAGATCCGCAAAGGGAGAACCGAAGGAGAAATTATGGGTACCTGGCGCGGCTCAAACAGCCGGCCAATCGCATGACGCGTCGAAAACGATTCGCGGCGGAATAGTTGCCATTGGCGTTCCGCACGGCAGCGTTCCTACTCGATGGACGACATTTCGGCGGCAGCGAGCCACACGTGGCAGAATCCCTTGCGCATGCGCCGCGGAGCCGGTTCGGAGCGGAAGAGAAAGAGAGAGAGAGAGAGAAAGGGAGGAGAGAGACGAGACGCGCAGGAGTGTTCGCGCGCGGTTCCGCGTGTCGGTACCAACGCGACGGACGGACGGACGCGCATGCGCAGCGCGCTCCTCGAAAAGGGTGAATGCGCCTGTCGCTCGGCTCGGCTCTCGAGAGTGCGACGTTGCCGTTTCTCTCTGTTGCCGGATCGCTGCAACAGAGGCGGCTGGACCCCACCAAGCGCCGAGGCCAGCTTCTCCTGCCCGCGTTACTCGCTAACGGATTACGGAAGGTTAATCGGTGACGGACGAGAGTTCGTTGTTCAACCGCAATTGCCCTGTCGATTTCCTTTTTTTCGGATTCTTCTCTTTTT